GGGATGAAGCTCCCACAACCTCTGAGGGCCTCCTTGGTGTTTCTGGCAGCCCCTCAAAGACTGGAAGACTGCTCTCATGTCCCCACTAGTCCTTCTTTTCTCTAGACTAGCCAAACCCAAATCCTGCTACTCTTCTTCGTATGTTTTAGTCTCCAGGATTTTAATCCTCTTACTATAGTTGCTCTTCTTTGTACTTTTTCCAAGTGTACTCTAGGGCAGTGTTTCTCAAACTTGGCAACTTGAAGATGTCCGGAATTCAACTCCCAGAATTCTCCAGCCAGCGAATGCTGGCTGGGGAGTTCTGGGAGTTGAAGTCAGGACATCTTCAAGTTGCCAAGTTTGGGAAACACTGCTCTAGGGGGAGGGGGTAGAGGGGAGGAGGTGTAGAGGGAGTGAGTTGTTTTTTTGTGTGTGTGTGTGTTTTTTAACAGTGGCAAACAAGAACTTCCTAGGAACAAAATCTCTTTAGAGAAGCTGGGTTTTGCATTTTATTCTTTATACATTTTGCATTTTATTCTCTATACATTGTACTGACAAGAGGAACCTGTTGAGGTTGTTTTTAGCTGTCAGTTGTTTCCAATGTGGCTTTATTTGGAGCACAGGGATCTAAGGAAGCACAACTGCGCCCCCTGGAGGAAACTGCCCACCCTTGCAACCCTCTTTTCGCGTATCTTGAAAAGGCTGTGGGAGGAGGGGGAAAAAAAACAGGAGGCCGCCACAAAGACAGTTTAATTAATACGGATTACTGGCACAAATGGCAAACCGGCCGCAAAATTTGTTCGCAGGGCTTAGCGGTTTCTGATCTGTCCATGCAAAGGCACAGCCCCAAAGAAAGAATCCTGCTTGATCCACTCTGAATTTTTGCTTTTCTACCAGCCAAACTTTTCACACCACACGGCAACCCACTGTAGAGTTGTGCACTTGTGGGTATATTATGGAGCAGCACTTGTGGTTTTTAAGCTCTTTCAATGTCTACGTGGTGACTCTGTATTGTTGTTCTTTTAGTGTCTGTGGATCAGTTGCCTTGCAGTTTTAATTAAAGCCTTGCCAGGTCAACGGTGAAAAAAGGAAGGTTCTACATTTAGGCACGAAAAACAAAACGCACAGGTACAGTATAGGTGGTACCTTGCTCAATAGGAGTAACTGTGAAAGGGATCTTGGAGTCCTAGTGGACAACCATTTAAATAGGAGCTAGCTGTGTGCAGCAGCTGCCAAAAAAGCCAACACCGTTCTAGGCTGCATAAACAGAGGGATAGAATCAAGATCACGTGAAGTGTTAATACCACCTTATAATGCCTTGGTAAGGCCACACTTGGAATACGGCATCCAATTTTGGTCGCCGTGGTGTAAAAAAGATGTTGAGACTCTAGTAAGGGTGCTGAGAAGAGCAACAAAGATGATTAGGAGACTGGAGGCTAAAACATAGGACGAACGGTTGCAGGAACTGGGTATGTCTAGTTTAATGAAAAGAAGGACCAGGGGAGACATGATAGCAGTATTCCAATATCTCAGGGGTTGCCACAAAGAAGAGGGAGTCAACCTATTCTCCAAAGAACCTGAGGGTATGACAAGAAGCAATGGGTGGAAATTAATCAAGGAGAGAAGCAACCTAGAATGAAGGAGAAATTTCCTAACAGTTAGAACAATTAACCAGTGGAACAACTTGCCTCCAGAAGTTGTGAATGCTCCAACACTGGAAGTTTTTAAGAAGATGTTGGATAACCATTTTTCTGTAGTAGTGTAGGGTTTCCTGCCTAAGCAGGGGGTTGGACTAGAAGACCTCCAAGGTCCCTTCTAACTATTCTATTCTATTCTACTCTATCTATTCTACTCTATCTAT